ATGACCTTCACAGTACCCGAACTCTTCAGCGGGGCTTTGCCTCACAGCACACCCTTGCTTGTCTTTTTTTCCTGTCCCACTTTTCCACTCTTCTACCAGTTTTTCCTGGGAATGTTTACTAATAAATCACTTTCATACAAATCCTCATCTCAGAGTTTGCTTTTGGGAAACCCAACAAGAGTAGAATTGGATCTAGCATATGGTAAGCACTCAATAAATATTTGTTGGAAGGAAGGAAGCAGGCACTAAGTTGCCACTCATGACAGTGTCCACCATATTCTCTGATCCAGATTCCTGGAGGTGGCTTATGAAACAGGCCCTTCCCATCTTGTTCTGTTACATCATTAGAATCAGTTGTCACTCATGCAATCTGGAAGAAAGTAGCGAAACAGCTGACACTGAAGTGCACTTTGCCTGGCTAGTGGGGAGTCTTGCCTTACTAGTTATATAATTTTGGACAATTTACTTAACCTTTTTTGGGTTAAACTCTAACAGGAAATAATACCAACCTTGAAAGAGTCTTCTAAAAATTAAATGAAATAGAATTTCTGGTACATAGTAGCCTCTCCAAAAATTTAGTTCCCTTTCTTGCTCCTTTCAGCTGCCTGAAAGCTAAATCAGGAGAAAATGTTTCATCTCCATATTTATCACTGTGTGCAAATGAGTCAAATATAGATTTAAAAAAAAAATAGCTGAGCTAGAGGAAAAGTCTCAGCTAACACAGGCCAGCATGAGTTGGCAGGGCCGAAGAGAAGATGGCCCACATGATCAGGAGATTGGGTACCTACAAAAAGACTAAGCAAATAAGTTAATACATGGAAGGTAACGGGAGCCAGGCTTCTCACTCAGGGAAGAGAGGTACAAATATAGAAAGGGGAAAGGCTAGGATAAAACATCTAAGGTTAGATTGTAATTGGAAGTATAAGTATGAACTCCTGGTTTCTGATAGATAGATGATAAATGGAAAGATATATCTATGTACACACACACACACACACACACACACCCCAGATATGTGTATGTGCGCATACGTGATTCCTAACTCTGTCCACTTGGAGGTCAAAGAAGCAATAAGTACACCAGCAGCAACGTACATACCCAATACGCAGCCCTTGGTTTCTAAACACCATTCTCCTCAAAAGGATCCGGAGCTCCTTGGAGAAATGGCTAATTCCAGACCTAAGGCAGGGAAGTGTACAATGAATCTGGAATATCTTGTACCAGAAAGTATGGAAATTCTGAAAGAATGAAAGGGATATGTCAAAATGACACAGAAGCCAGCAAATCCCACTGGCTAAATTTGGGACAATTTGAACATCAAAACAATGATAGCAATTGATTATAACCCATTGAATAAAACAGGAACCCATGAGCTCATACTAATATATGTAAATAGATAAATAAATGGGGGGACAGGAAAGTTTTACTTTACAGTAGAAGGTCAACTAACAAATGTAGAAGAGATGACAGAAGAAAATGATTACCGTTTGGAAAACTTTATAGTAATAATTGTTTGGGTAAGGAGCAAAAATGGATACTAATACAAACGAGTGAGAGTGTGATCAGGAACAGAATCTTTACATGGTCTCAAAGTATCTCCAAACAAAATACTTATTCATTAACATTACATTGCAAAATCTGGCACACATCATCTTACCAAATGATAAAAGTTAACTTCGCCAGTAATGAGACAAATCAACATCATGTGCTTTCTGATGTGACACACTGAGAGGAATATAGAATGACTTTTGTGATATTTCTGCCAAAAATGTATTCCTAAACCCAATCATGAAGAAATATCAGACAAACCCACACTCATGGACATTCCGCAAAGTAATTGTCCTGTTCACTTCAAAAATGTCAAGGTCATGAAAAAAGGAGAGACCAGGAACTGTCCAAGATAAAAGAAAACAAGACTCGACAATTAAATGCAACACATGCTTCCGGATTGGATCTTGGATTTATGAAGGACTTTATTAGGAAAATAATCAAAATATTTCTCAAGGGCCATTTTAGCTCCAGAGGTCTCCATGAGGTCCACTGAGGCTTTTGTTGGACTATACCACTTCTTGACTTCTCCCTCTGCCCAGTTATGTTTCCTTTCCCTCTCTTTTATATTTGTTGGTCCCAAAAGCAGTCCTTAATAAAAATCCTGCACACTAAACTCCATTTCAGAGTCTGCTTCCTGGAGAACTCAACCTGTGACAAAAAGAGTGAGTAGGATCTTCACATGCAAAGATTGTGTGGGGAGTATTCTAGACACAGAAACTAGTCTGAGCAAAGTCTTGTATTAGAAGATAAATAGCACAACTGAGGGAAAAAAGGGGTGACTGTAACTCAGAGAGCATGAGGCAGCTTGATGTGAGATAAAGCTGAAAAGTTAGGCTAGGGCAAGCCCATACAGAATGTTGTTGGCCATGTTAATGATTTGAGTTTATCTTAACAGTAATGGAAAGCCACTGGAAGGCTGGAGAGTGGAGTGCAGTGGGGCAGGCAGTGCTTTATAAGATTTGCATTTGGAAAGTATTAATATTATTGAGGCAGAATGTGAAAAAACAGATTGGAGAAAGGAAAGAGTGAACTTGGAAATACTAGGAAGGAGGTTACTTTAGCAGTCTAAACAAAAGTTGATGGTAGTCTAGACTAGATGGTAGCGATGGAGATGGAAAATTTTGGATTGATTCAAGAAATATTGAGAAGGTAAAAAAAATGACATGACTTGATGATGGACTAGATGTAGATCATCAGGAAGGGGAGGTGTTAAGGATGATACCTAAGCTTTTGGTGTGCTAAACTGAATAAATTGTGCCATCGATTTACATAGGATCCATTAAAAAAGGATCAGGTTAGGGGAAAGATTATGAGATTTGGACATAAAGAACTTGAGCTTCCTTTGAGACAACCAAATGTGGGGTTCTGGAGTCCAAGGAAAGGGAATGTTTCAAGAAGGAGGGAGAGAGCACCTTTGTAGAAAGCTATAGAGAGGTGAGGTACTATACTGCTGAAAAATACCCATAAGAGAGCTGCTTCAGAGGAGTGATGAATGCAGAAGCCAGGCTGGAATGGGTTGAGAAATGAGTAGGAAGAAAGAAAACAGAGACACTTCCCCTTCCACCACAAAAACAATTGTAGGAAATGCATTTATATTGGCCTAAAAGAAAAGTATCGTAATTCTAACCTAATCAGAAATACCAACTGAATTCCAAGTTTCACTTGGGATGAAAGTTAATCTCTATTTATACATGTCATTTTACCTAGTTCTCTGAGCTCCAAAGGAATGAAACTAGCTCTAGAGAAACACAATAGTTAGTTGTCACCACTGCCATTCTGATTAGAAAATAGCAATTCTACAAAGAAATTGCTACCAAAAAAATTTCTATCAAAAAGGCACTTGGAGAAAGTGAAGCAAGAATATCACTTTTTGCTGGGCCTTACCTGATCCACCCAACTCTGGGCCAATGATTATCATCTGATGCAGGCAAGATACACAGATATTCTGTACAAATTCAATAAACAAACACAATGCTATGAAATATCCTGAATTTAAAACCCCAATATGACTGATGGAGTAATGTATCCTTGCTCTCTTATTTGCCTTGTTGACTAAAAATAAACAGCCAGTTATTTTAACATCAAAATGGGTTTGTTCGGAAATAGCAAAGGAACTGCAATCTGGGACAAGCAAGCTATAGCAAAAGTCATAGCCAAGTCCTGCAAGCAAAGGAGAGGAACTTTATTTTACAGAGAAAAAGGAGGAAGTTGGGAGGGATTGTTTGGAACAAAAGTCCAGTTAGTGGAAGGTGAGGCTTCAGGGGGTAGTCGATTTCTTGGGGACAGGAGGAGGAGATGCAACATAGTTCTCTTCCTGTTGGGATCTGCAATTGAGGATTCTTCCTGTAACTAACATCCAATGGTAGTGCATGAGGGCTCCCCCTTCTGGCCTCTAGACTCCATTTTCAATGAGGTTTCCCTTTATTAATTTTCATAGCCTCAAATAGGAAAATATGTTTAGTTTTTAAAGGTCATGCCTTTCTCTGTGTTCTACGCATGGGATGAGTCTTCCCACCATGACGTTCTCACATATCCAAAACCCTATCCAAGTTCCAGGTCAGGTTCTGTCTATCAGTGAGTCTTTTCTGGTTATACTCATATCACACGTTATTTGGACAACCTTAGCACGTGTGCCTTCAACGTGTAATGTTGCCAACCAGGCCTTCCTCTCAAATTGCTAAATATTTTCCACAATAGATTATGAATTTCCAGCAGGCAGAGACTGATTCCTCATTCTTTTATGTGTTACTAAGGCTCTTTATGTATGTTCAAACTGAGTACTGTAAACTAATCATAATTTACACTGCTCAAAACCCTATTTTCATCTCCAAATCCCAGTCCTCAAATTTCCTTATGTTATAATAATAGCTAACATTTATTGATTACTCTGTACCATTCACTGTTTTAGACACTTTTCACCATATTAACACATACAATCCTCCCAACAACCCAATGATACAGATATTACTATTCCTAATTCACAGATAAGAAGATTGAGGTACAGAAAGGCCCAGTGACAAATTAGTGAGTGGTCGAGTTGGCATTCACACCAAGACAGACACAAAAGCCCAGGTTCCTAACGTTTTAGCGACCAAAACATAACCCTTATAAGGCCCGGTCCTACCGGGCCTGGTTTTACAGATGTGCCATGATTAAGCAGCACAGTTCAGCAACCAGAATTTCAGACATCCTTTTCTATTTAATCACACGTCGTGCATTTTCTATGCCCCCTCCCTCTGCGCTACAAGAACCCGCTGTATCCCTGACGGCCCATAGGTGGCGCTGCAGGGACAGATACTACGCGCTCTGACCGTGTCAATGGCAGGGGCTGATAGGGGAGGATTCGATCCGTCACCCCGCGGTAGGAGGAGCCTAAGGGAGGCCAAGGGACGGCACGTGTTCTGTTGTGCGCAGGCGCAGGGCTGGGCACTCCCCCGGGAGTGAGGGTTGCTGGGCCGGATGACGTGGCCTGGCAACGTCCGCTCCGGTGCGCCTCCGCGAAGTGAGGTGTCGCCGGTACTGCTCGCGGCCTAGTCCCAACGCGCCTGTGCTCGTTAGCGGGAGCCGGGCACGGCGGCGGCGGCGGCCGGGCCTGCGGGGGCCCGACGGGGCCGCTGCCATGGGGGAGTGACGCGCCTGCGCCCGCTGTTCCGCGGCAGCGGCGAGACATGAGGAGACCCCGCGGCGGGGGCAGCGGCGGCGGCTCCTGAGCCCCGGGATGGAGGAAAAGTACGGTGGGGACGTGCTAGCCGGCCCCGGCGGCCTCGGGCCGGTGGACGTGCCCAGCGCTCGGTAAGGGACCGATCCGGCTCCCGCCTCCGGAGCCGCTCTCCCCGCGCCGGCCTGCTCCTTCGCGGACTCGGACGGCAGCGGCCAGCTCGGCTGCTGCCGGCTCCACCCGGGCGCGCGGGGCTCAGCCGGCTGACAGCCCAGAACGCCGCCCTGGGTCCGCGCGCGCCCCGAGCCTCCGTGCTCTCGCCCTCGGCCCCCGGCTGCGCTGGCCTCTCTGGGCTCCTGCGTTGCCGCCGCAGTGAATGCTGTAAAATCCAGGAAGGTTCTGCTGGAGTTTCTGGTTTTCAAGGCAGACGGTAACCTTAGAACTGCCAGCCAGTTCACGTGAGAGGTTTTTCTGATCTACGAGAAGCATTTCTGTTGGCTGTTTCTCTCTTAATTAGTAGTTTATTGACTACTTAACCTCTCTGACGTCTCCCTGCCTAAGTTAGGGGCAGGTGTCCCCATCATCTGTTCAGGCGAAGAAACCAAAATACAAACAGATGAACTTCAGTGTTCAGGTTAACCCTGCACATCAAGAATCCAGTCCGTCATCTAGTTTTCTTTAACTTTTTTGATTTATTTTATTATTAAATAAGAAATATGTGCTCATTGTCAAAAAATTCACACAGTATAGAAATTCATAGAGTAAAAGGCGAAATTTCCCCTTTACCCTCTTCCGCCTCCAATGCTCCCACTAACCCTTACCAAGACGTGAGTACAGTGACCACTTCCGAGTGTGGCTTTCTTGACCCGTCCCAAGTTCTGAGGGAGTGTCAAAGTGCATAAAATATGGCCCAACAATTTGGTTGGAATTGCTATTCATTGCCTTCCCTTTTAAATGAGATTAACTTTTTCTTGAATACTTCCTTTGAGACTTAAAGATTGTTTTGATAAATTCTTCGGAACAGTAGAAATAGCATTACTAACATAACTATTTTTTGTGAAAAGGAAAGAACATATAAAATGCTAGAACAGAACTTAAATCAACTGCATTTTTATAGTAGAAGTTTAATTTTCTAATCTTATCTAACTTACTTTATAAATAACAGCATATCAGATATTATTTACTGAGACATGACAACTAAATGCAATAGGCGATTCTTGTCTGGATTCATAGTAAAGGGAAAAATGCTATAAAGGACAGTAACTAGGTCAGTTGACAAAATTGGACTGTGGACGATAGATTACATTAAAGTATCATATCAATGTTAAATTTTCTGAAGTTGATAACTCTACTGATTTTATAAGAGAATGTCCATGATCTTAGGAAATACAAGTATTTAGGGGTGAGGGAGCATGGTATATGTAACTTACTCTTAAATAATTCATTTAAAAAGTCTGTGTATTGAGAGAGAGAGATAATAAGGCAAAGGGAACAATACGTTAACAATTAGGGAATCTAGGTAAAGGGTATACTATTCTTGCAACTTTTCTGTAAACTTGAAATTATTTTTAAATAGTTTAAAATTGTTCTTTACTCAAGAGCTTATTGTCTTAGATAGATGTGGTGAACAGTCCTTTGTCATCTTATTTGCATTATTTGCTTAGCAGAGATGCCCTTCTATTGTAGTTCATTGCAGAATCAAATTCAACTCAGGACTGGTTGAATTTTGAATAGATGGCAAGAATTTTGCTTTGTATAGACTAAAAATCAAATACTGGTTATAATCTGCAACAAAAACTAATTGACAAATCCTTTAATTGTGGATATTTTTATGCCTGAATTCACAAATACGAATGTTTTAAATGTTTCTGTTTTGGTTTCTATAATTCCTCTTTGCAGGAAAAGGCAGAGGGTGACGGTCAGCATTTGTTGAGTACCTCCTATGTTCCAAATGCTTTGAGTACAGCTCTCATGTAATCCTTACAGCAGTGCTACAGACTGGGTAGTGGTATTCTTGTTTCATAGATCAGGAAACTGAGATGTAGAAAAGTAATTTTCCCAAAGTCACACACCTAATAACTGAACTGGGAGTCAGTTATCCCATACCCCAAGCCTGATGCCTTCTACATAGTAGACACTTGAATATTTATTGAATGAATCGAGCTAGAATTACACACACTGGTTTTGTTTTTTAGCTGGAGAACTGTGAGCTGCTGCAGCGGCCAAAACCCAAGAAGCAGGTTTGAATCCAAACCGAAATTTCAGTATTTCCAGGTTTAGAGAACCAGAGATTTTTCTAACCCTTAACAGAAAAGACCAGTGATACCTTTGATGAGACTAGTTAATGGTAAATAATGATTTATAAGTTGGGGAGGTGCATTGGATCCCCCTGAGTTGCTCAGAGGGTCAGTGAGTCGTTTACAGGCCACTGCCCCTGTTTAAGAGCCTCCCCCTTGTTGTGGCCCATGTGTCCCCTTTAGTAAATGAAGCTGGTCATTGTTTCCCTCCACTACGTGAACTAGGAATGTGTACTTTTTAGTATAGGGTTACCTGGCCTTAGCTAGTGTTCCATCTTTAGCCCAACAGAAAGACTTCATTAATTGAGACTTTAAAAATCAAAGTGTAAACTTTTAACTAAATGTCAAAATAATTTTCCTAATTTAATAATGATAGCAAAAGATGTTCAATATATATTACATGAAAAGTCACATAGCATTGTTAAAATATGTGTACAATTGTGAATATGTGAAAGTATCTAAAATATATGTGTCCATATGTGGAGATGCAGAGGAAAAGGTTTGGAAGGAGGTACCCAATTGGTGACCTATGAGGAGGAGATTGGGAATGATTTTGTTTAAAACTTTTGTAACAACCAGCTACTCAGGAATTACTTTTGTAATCTGTTTTTTAAACATTGAAAAGAGAATAAAGAAAATTAGTGTCAGAAAGATCTTAATAGTAATATATTATCAAGAAGTATTTTATTTAATGTCCCATGTGATTAAATCTTACCATTAAAGTGTAAAATTTTTAAAGTTTTTTGGGCCGGCCCTGTGGCTTGGTGGTTAAGTGCGCGCGCTGCGATGCTGGTGGCCCGGGTTCAGATCCCGGGTGTGCATCGAGGCACCACTTCTCCGTTCATCCTGAGGCCGAGTCCCGCATACAGCAACTAGAAGGATGTGCAGCTACGACATACAACTATCCACTGGGGCTTTGGGGGAAAAAATAAAATAAATAAAATCTTTAAAAAAAAAAAAAATAAAGTTTTGTTAATGCTTTAAACAAAAATTATTTAGAAATACTTTTACATGTTGCCCTATCTTGTTAAAACAAGTATATTAAATATAATTTGCTTTTTTTCCTTGAAGACTTCTGGTCATTATGAGCATCATCTGGTTAACTGAGCTTAAATACAGTCATTTCTTCCTAGTACTAGTGTTCTGCTTATGCTGCTCTCTGTACTTTGAAATACCTTTTCCCTTTCCTTGCTTTGTAATTCCTACTTAAACTGTAATACAGACATAGCTCAGGCTCTGAAGATGACCTTCACTTCCCTAGTTACAGTTAGTTGCTTCTACATCTCTTCTTTTAGAATTCTCTTACTTATCTGGGTCACATAAATATTTGTTTACTTGCCTGTCTTTCTTAGACCTCAAACTCCTTGAGAGCAGGGTCTCTATTACATTTAGTGGCTTGGATAGCATCTAGAAATGTGTTTAGTTGTAAGTAACTGAACTAAGAGAGCTTTACACAAATAGGGATGTATTCTTCTCACATAAAAGAAACCAGAGATTGCTGGTGTTTGTTCTGCCCCTCAGTGATACCATCTAGGACCCAAATTCTTTGTCTTTGCTCTCTGCCATCCTAAGTGTATTGACTTTCATGTTCGGGCTGGTTATAAAATGGATAACATTTTTAAAATAATGTAAACATTTCGATAACAGTTTTTAGATAAATTTTAGATAAAAGTCCTCCCTTGAAGGCAGAAAGAAGGTGGAAGTAGTTCCAGCTGCATCTTGCCCTTTTATCAGGACAGAAGCCACCCTGTCAGACTTCTCTTAGGTCTCACTGACCACGTATGGCACATAGTAAGTGAGCAGGGAATACTTGAAGAATGGCTAAATAGCCCCATGGCAGGGATGTATGAAGCTCTTTGCTGACATCAAGAGTTCCCCGACTGCTGTGATTTTTAATGTACTTATGTCTATTTTTCCTGGCCTTTTTCTCCCTCCCTCCCCATCTTGTTGACAGTATTATTATTCTTTGTGTCCTTGCTGCCTTATTTTTACACCTAGTTAAGAGCTTAAGGAGCAAAGCGCTTGAGGTCTGAGCATCCCTCTCTACTTGATTTCATTCTTTTCTTTCATTATGAATTCCTGGTTGGGTTGCTGATAGTTTAAATTGCCAGAAGCTTGACTGCCACCTGTGTAGTCCATTACTGCACTCTGTAAGTTACTGTACTAGATATGACTATCACACAAGTGTAATTGTAGAGTTAATATTCTTTCATTTGATAAACATTTGCTGAGCACGTATTATGAAAGTCCCAGTGTTAGGAACTGAATAAACAAAGGATTTCTAGCTTGTGTTACTGGCTACTTTTGAATTGCTGCCATGAACAGAATAATTAGCATTAATACAGTTAGTGTACTTAAGTATGACTTTTTTAGCTTAAAATGGGCCAAAATCTAAATTAATCTTAAGTTTTAATATGCATTCTGTCTTCCATATTTAAAGATGATTTTACTGCTCATGTGGGCCAATGTGAGTGTATAATTGGGAACAGTTTAGAAGCTAGGAATCCTCAAAGCCTTTTTGATGAATTTGATTTTCTGTGTGACATGTTAAAGAGGGCATACTTAAGAGACATGGACTTGCCCCTAGCTAAGTCTGGACTTCAACTTCCCAATTTATGACATGAGAGCAATTGGGCTAGAGAATCTCTAAGGTGTTTTTCAGCTTTTAAATGGTAATGTTCAATTTTTTCCAGAACATATACATTTACTTTCATACCTAGACAGTTGCTAGGGATTTGGTAGATTTTCCGTGTTGTACTTCATGTTTTTAGCTAGTCTACAAACAACCCAGAAACAAAATACACTTTTTTTTTTCTTGTTATAGCCATACTTTTAAGTTTATTATTTTTTTATAGTTCTTTTTTCATTGAGATGTAATTTACATAGAGTAAAATGCATAGATTTTAAAGGTACCACTTTGCATTTTTCATGAGTGCATGCCCTTATAACTTTCAGCACAATCAAGCTATAGGATATTTTCATCACCCCAGAAAATCTGCTTGATCTTTTAATGAGAAATTGTAATGAAATTTATACTATTCTACAGGTGGGTCAAGTAGGGACTTCTGTGCTTTAGGATGTGAGTTACGTTATTCCACAATAACATTTTTATTTGTTTCTTTCTTTTGTTTTTTTTGTGAGGAAGATCAGCCCTGAGCTAACATCTATTGCCAATCCTCCTCCTTTTTTTTTTTTCTCTTTTTCTCCCCAAAGCCCCAGTAGATAGTTGTATGTCATAGTTGCACATCCTTCTAGTTGCTGTATGTGGGACGCCGCCTCAGCATGGCTGGACAAGCGGTGCGTCGGTGTGTGCCTGGGTTCTGAACCCGGGCCGCCAGTAGCAGTGTGCACACACTTTACCGCTAAGCCACAGGGCTGGCCCCTTTATTTGTTTCTTGACAATTGATTATCGCATTGTTAAAATCCCCAGATTATCCTATAAGAAAGGCCCCCCAGGCTATGTTCATGATAGGAAAAACCACTTTGCTCTAAATCTGATTTTATTTAATTTGTATTATCTGGACAGATATATATACGTAAAACAGAAAATGAGCTATCTTGGATGGTGAAGATGCTGGAATTGCTGAGATTCATTCTTTCAAGTACTGAAGTTTAATAGTTGCATCAAAATCTTGCTAACATGTATATTTCCATGTCTTCTTAAGCAAATTACTGTTTAATATAATATAGCTCTTTCTTCTTGATTCAGTGCCATGGTACTTGATTCACACTCATCAGTTTTTATACCATCCTGCGTACGTTGATACCCCTGTTATGTGTTAGTTTTAACTCTACTATTTGAATAACTCAGGTTTCCTTTAAACTTCTCTGTTAGCTTTTTGTATTTTTTTCTCCCATTGGTAGAAACTTCTTATTCCCGCCAGTGTGCTGGCCTTTGACATCCCTTACACCGCCTTTTTAATGTATTAACACCTGTTTGATGTGAGCTTAAAAAATGGTCTCCTGAGTGGCCTGCACAGGGTGACCTATTAGGTAGGGGAAAAAATTAGACTTTCTCAACTTTTTATCTCATTCTTTTAAATTTCTAATTTGTGTATGTTTTATAAAGTAACATCAGTGCAGTAGTATGTGTTTATAATGTACAAAAAAATAAGGGGTTTCATGTGCAGAATTTTTTTGCTACTAGAGGTGTATGATCAGACTACTAGGCTAGAAAACCGAGATAATTTCTTCTCTATTTTCTAACTTCTCTTTCAGGAGCTCCTTTTTCTTTTCTTTTTATGGCAACCTAATTTTTTCATGGATGCAATATTCCTATCTCTTGGAGAATATTGTTTATAGTTCTTTGTTGTTTTCTGCTATTCACTGTGATCTCTGTATCTTTTAAATTTCTTTGTTGTTTTTGCTTGTTTGGTCTCTCATAGGCTTATCTTAAAGGATTGATTATCCATGTTAGCCATTCAGATTTGAATGAGACCTAAAAAGCTAGTTAGACCTGTGTGGGCCTTCTCCAGAGAAGGGTTCACCTGGGAGACTGAAGCCTGGCCGTTAAGATGTTGGAGTTAAATGAGGAAAGGGAAGTGGGGTGGAGTTAAGGAGGGAAACTCCCTTTTAATCTCCTGATTTTAGTCCAACACCTCAGCCCTCCTTTCCCCTTTGCCTATGTCTAGACTCCTCCAGAGGCTCAGCCTCACGAGTCCTGTCTTGACAGGAGGGATGGTTGCCTGGCTGTGCTAGGTGGGAATCTGGGGACCTACTTGAAAGACTTCCTAATGATCTTCCTCTTTTCAGCTCCCCAGGCCCTTTCTGAGCTGCTTCAGATTCTTGAGCCTTTGCAGGATCTGTAGGTCGGGTCACTTAACTTTTTAACCATTACTCTCACTGCAGTCATGTAGCAAAGCAGAGGAGGGGCAAATCTAAGACATTTACCCTTCCTCCATTCCTTCCTAGAGCGTGGCCTTCTGGTTTCATCACAGACAGAGTTTGGTTTCTATTCTTTTTCTCTTTATTTGTGTGAAGTAATTGTTAAGTTTAAAAAGCAGATTACAAAATAGCCTAGGCAACTCAATTAACCAAGAACATTTTTATTTTTAGTTTGGCCTTTTTTTTAATAGACTTTATCTATACATATATGTTCAATATACATTGAAAAGAATCTGCAAGTATATACCAAAATGTTAATAGTAATCATCGTATGGATAGTGAGTTGTTTGGGTTTTTTTGTTTGTTTCATTTTTTTATGTATATTTATGGTTTTTATAATGATGCCTGTTACTTGTATAATAAGAAAAAAACAGATTACAGAGTTCCCTGTGATTTCAGTGATACTGAAACTTGTTTTTGTTTTTATTTTTCAGATTAATGAAATATGTTGTGTTACTATGTTTCAGTAAATTTTTGAAGGCTGTGGGACTTTTTGAATCATATGATCTCCTAAAAGTAGTTCACATTGTTCAATTCATTTTTATATTAAAACTTGGGTGAGTGTGTGAGATTCTTTTTTTCTTAATCTTTTTATTTCTTTGAAAATCCTGTTTTAATTGAGTATCTTTAGGAAATTTTATATAGAATATTTTGTGCAATTTATTCCTCCTGACAAGTATTTTATACTTTTTTTTAAAAAATAGAATACCTAAGTTTAGAGGTACAAAGAAACTGATTTATTTTTAAAAAAGGATTGTTGTACTATAATAGCTTTCCAAAACATCGACTTTTACTTGAGTTTGTGTTAATGAGGTTCTTGCAAATTTCTTCTAATGTCTGGCTTAATAGAAAGCTGGAATCTCCTGTCTGCTTCCGCATTCAGTCTGTTGCAGTATCTCACATCAACCAGCCTCTGAAAAGCTCCAGTGTACGCCCCTGAGAGAATAAGAGTGAAAAGGGAAATAATGTCTTAGTGTTTTTATAGACATGGTTGTGACCTCACAGACTCCCTGAAAGGGTCTCAGGGGCCCTAGGGATTCCCCGGCCATACCACACTGGTGTAGTCCAACATTCCCCCAGGTGTAGAATGTTATCTGAAACTTGTCTTGGCACAGATGTTTCTTATTTTCTAAGTTAAACCGTGCTGGGTGTGTTCTCTACATGTCCCTTCACACAGTACAGGGTCCGCATTGAGTATAAATTTTACATTATTCTGCATATAGTAAGAAATTCTCTCTAAATAAAGATTCTCTGGACCTTGAGATTGATAATGACCACCCTCGGTGTTAATAAAAATCTGTTAGAAACTCCTGGGAATATAATATTAGTAATTATGAAAAGTGATTCTTGAATAGGAAATTTTAAGCACGAATTTTATACCTTTTTACATAACTGTTTTGGGAATGTGAAGGGTTGGGGACATATAATTATTTTCTTCATTTATATTATTTCAAGATTTGTTATTACTAAATTTTGGAGAAGATAGGAATTATTTTCTTTGGTATTTCAAAGTATGAAAAAATATTGAGACTCCTTTTCTTTTGTGGCTTTTGAACTGGTTCTGAAGGCAATTACAAAAGACAAGTTCCCAAAATGTTGCAATGGAAGCCTTATTAAAATATAGTTCTCCAGTATAATTTCTTTAGAGGATAACATGCTTTTCAAGTTCTAATATATTTGTTTAAAATAAGTGTCTTTTCTTAAACCACACCTTCAATATAAGATTGATTAATATTAATATATTAATAATTTAATATTCACAGGACTGCATTTTTTATGGTTTTGTTTCAAAAGCCATTTTCTTCTGGGAAAAGTATTACCAAACACCAGGTAAGTTTTTTTACAGAATCCTTTTTTCCTAGCAGCTTCTCATTCAGTGGGCCAGGAGACAATGCTCTTTCCTTGATCAGGGTTACTTAATGAATGATTTAAGTGCACAGCAGAATTTTTCCAATGTCAACTTGCTCTTGACTTGTCTTTTCAGAATTGAGCCTTCAAGAGTAAACTGTAAAGTGCTAAGATAATGGAATGTTTAAAAATTCAGAAAAGAGAAAATTTTTAAAGCACGCTCATAATTATTTTTTTAAATACAGAATCCGTATTCTGAAAGGTTTACAAATCGGACACAGAGACGTGCCCAAGAGCCTGAAATGTTATTGGGAGGCAGATAAAGCATAGGGGTTAAGAATGAGGCCTCTGGAGTCAGACAAATTCATATTCTGTCTGTCCTACTTACTAACTCTTACTTTGGGCAAGTTACTTAATTTCTCTACTTAATTTTCTCACTTGTACAATGGAAATAATACCTTCTTAGCAGAGCTGTGAGGAATAAATGAATTAATACGTGTAAAGTTCTTAAAATAGTGCCTGGCATATAGTAAGTATACAATATGTATAGATGTCACCCTTATCATCATCATTGTTCCCTTTAGGCACCTGAGGTTCAGGATGCATAACAGAAACATCCTGTATTCTGCATAATCATCTCACATTATCACCTTTTTGGACAGTAGTTATACCCTACTACCTGTTTGCCTTATACTCCAACTTAGAAGCCTCTGCCATGATTTTTTATCAAAATGACAAATTTAAGTACCTCTGTTTTAGAGATCAAGAATGTTTTTTAAAATAGGATTAATAGGGGCCGGCCCCATGGCATAGCGGTTAAGTACGTGCGTTCCACTGCTGGCAGCCCAGGTTCGGATCCCAGGCATGCACCAATGCACCACTTGTCAGGCCATGCTGTGGTGGTGTACCATATAAAGTGGAGGAAGATGGGCACGGATGTTACCCCTGGGCCAGTCTTCCTCAGCACAACGAGGAGGACTGGCATGGATGTTAGCTCAGGGCTGATCTTCCTCACAAAAAAAAGTAAAATAAAATAGGATTAATATTTTAAACCCCATGTTAAATTTTTTCTCTCTTGTCAAATAATTGAAACATTTTATATTCCTGATGGAAAAGAATTTAAAGATTAAAATATTAAAGTATTCCTAGCAAACTAGTAAGAAACTAATGGGGGCCAGCCCCGTGGCTTAGCGGTTAAGTGCGCGCGCTCCGCTACTGGCGACCCGGGTTCGGATCCCGGGTGCGCACCGACGCACCGCTTGTCCGGCCATGCTGAGGCGGCATCCCACATACAGCAACAAGAAGGATGTGCGACTATGACATACAACTATCCACTGGGGCTTTGGGGAAAAAAGGAGGATGATCAGCAATAGATGTTAACTCAGGGCTGATCTTCCTCACAAAAAAAAAAAAAAGAAACTAATAAAAAAAAAAAGAGAGAAAACTGTACTCTGTAGAAAAAGATTTCAAGATCTAATAACAGAAGTGGAAAACAGAATACTGTCTTGCAAATCTAGAATTAGTCAAGGAATCTTAACATTTTCTATTTAATTTCAAAATATGTAATTAGCCTTTAAAATATTTTAAGTGTTACCATTATTATCTTTCCCTATGTGTTTTATTTAAGATTTGAAATATTTAGCAAAACACAGATGACTGAAATTTTTAATTTTTTTTTTTCCATTTATAGTGGGTCAAAATATTTAAACATGCAGTTGCTGGATGTATCATTTCACTGTTGTGGTTTTTTGGCCTCACTCTTTGTGGACCACTAAGGTAAATAAAACGCATATTTTGAATGTTTGTTTATATCTCTTCATTTTGAATCTATAATGAGTACCTATTTAGGTTGTGGACTGATTCTTTGGTGAATACCATTAATATTTTGTTCATGATCTGTCATACATATTTTATTAGTTAAGAGTTCAGAGAGTTTCAGAAAATTTTTAGCATAAGGGGCTTTTTTATCATTCATTGGTGATCCCTTTTACCAACTGATTTTAGAAACTAAAAGATCTGAAGTGATAAATAAAACCAACCAGTAAGGAGGAGAGCAAAATCTTTTAAAAGTACTTTTTTTTTCGGCACAACTTTGAAAGCACTCGAGAACCCACAGAAAATGCTTCAAAGAGTTGGTTGTAAACAAATGTCTTGGGAATAGTGTATCAATCATCAGATGAAAGATGAGTTAACTGGGGCCAGCCCTGGTGGTCTAGTTAAGTTCGGCGTGCTCCGCTTCAGTAGCCCAGGTTTCGTTCTCAGGCGAGGATCTACACCACCCATGTATCAGTGGCCGTGCTATGGCAGCAGCTCACGTACAAAAAGAGGAAGATTGGCAGTGGATGTTAGCTCAGGGCTAATCTTCCTCAGCAAAAAGAGGAAGATTGGCAAGGGATGTTGGCTCAGGGCCAGTCTTCCTCACCAAAAAATAAATAAATAAATAAAAATAAATAAAAACAAAGATGAGTTAACTCTCATTTCATATTCCCCTAGATCTCTATGGAGTCATCTTTTTGTGTACATGGGCCAGTTCATGGGGAACATGCTTAAGGGCACTTAATTTAACAGGAAATGTAACATGTGCAACTATGCATAAGCAGTCTTTTAGTATTTCTTTAATGGGTTTTATTTATTGGGTAAAAGTATAAGAAAAAGTACCTTGCCATTAATGAAGGAGGAATAAGAGGACAAGAGGTAAGGACTAAAATGAAGGATGTTCTAAATAATCTTGTGTAGAATCACAGTGTAGAAAGTGATAGGTGGGAAATGCTTTGTGAAAAGTCCTTTCCCCTCTCCCAGCCAACAGAATAGTTTCTGGGTTTGGGTCCCTTTGGCTTGTTTACCCTGTACTCTGTCCATGACAGTAGCAGCATCCTGGGGTGGTGGGAAAGCTGGCTGGAATTTCTCACCTTGGAGAGAGCTTTTTCAATTTATGCTTGAATATGATTGAGTGGTGGTATTGCTTATCATCCCTAATATTTTAAATTTCTTATTCATGAAATTATGTTTTGGTCCCTGTGTTATTACATCACTGTTCCTATATGTTAAGATAGGGAAGGAAGGGGAAAAATCCTTAAATTCTTACTTTGCTCCTAATTTAGTTATCTACTTCCTGCCCTTACAACCCCGCACTGCCACCAGCTCCTCTGCCAACACTACCTCTCTCATTCTTTTACTAAAACCATCAGGCAACTTGTTGATTAGAAAGACTCCTTTGGTGTTTCATAGCGTGTCTTACTTTAGGTTAGTATTGCTCTGCTGATATATTTATTTTCTTAAATTATAATCTCCCAAATATTAATAGAACTAAAGTTATCATTGCTTTGTTCCATCATTACAGATTTTTGGGTAAAGAGGAAAAATGAAAATTTTTTTAATGAGCAGCTGAGAATGTGTTACTATTTAGATCCTATAAGTCCCCTTTGCTGGTCCTAATGTTTTTTTAAAAAGTTGTCGTACATATAAAAGAGTAAATATAAATAAATGTTTAAATAATAATAAAATTAACATTCACATATCTAACACCCAGCCCCCAAAATAAAACCTTACCAATACCTTTGAAGCCCTGTGTGCCCCTCTTCCTCTACCATTGGATGTAACCAGCCTCTTAAGTTTTGTTTTTTATTCTCTTGGTTTTATTATAGTTTTAACCACATGTGTACATAATTCTTTATTTTTAAATGTTTAACTTTGCAAGTTTTTTACTTTATATAAATAGAATGACTTTGCATGTATTTTCCTGCAGCATACTTTTTCCATTCCATGTTATGTTTGAGATTTGCCTATTTTGATGCATCTAGTATATATATATATGTATATAATTCATTTTTATGGCAGTTTTTTGAAATATAATTGACATACTATAAAATTTATTCTATTAGTCTTAGTCCATTTGGGCTACTATAACAAAAATACTATAGACTGGGTGGCTTATAAACAACAGACGTTTATTTCTCACAGTTCTGGAGGCTGGGAATTCCAAGATCAAGGTGTCAGCATGTTCACATTCTGGTGAGGGCCCTCTTCCTGGTTCATAGCTGGTGCCTTCTTGCCATGCTCTCACATGGTGGAAGGGGGTCCAGGATCTCTGTGGGGTCTCTTTTATAAGAACACTAATCCCATTCATGAGGGCTCCAACCTCATGACCTAAACACCTCCCAAAGGCCCCACCTCCAGATACCACCACAGTGGGGATTGGGTTCAACATACGAATTTGGAGGGGACACAAACATTCAGTCAATAGTACTTTTAAAGTGTAAAATTCAGTATTTCTTAGTATATTCATAGGATTTTATTCATTTTTACTGCTCTACAATAGTCCATTGAATAGATATACTCTATATTATCTGCTCTCTTATAAGTGGGCATTTAGGTTGTTTCCAGTTTGGCCTACTGCAGACAAGGCTGGTATGAGCAATCTTATAAGTGTTTTCTGGTACATATATACAAGAAATCTGTGTGATATAATCCTACAAGTACTATTGTTGAGTATTTGTAGCTTCAGCCTTTCCAAGGTAGATAATGCCAAAATAGTTTTCAAAACAGTTGTACCTATTTATTTTTCTCATAATGTTTTATGAAATCAAGGTGAAATATTTATTTTCTTTTCTCTTACTCTAGTTGAATTCATGCTTCTTGATAAAGATCAGATATATTTCATGAATAATAATGATTTATTTTTGTAGGACTTTGCTGCTATTTGAACACAGTGATATTGTTGTCATCTCACTGCTCAGTGTTTTGTTCACTAGTTCTGGAGGAGGACCAGCAAAGGTAGAATTTTCCATTATTAGTTACTTGAAAATTGAAAGTATACATGTAAAATATTATCCAAAGCAAGTAAATAGTATCTATTTCTATTAGCATTTAAAAGAATACAGGGGCTTTTTCTGCTAATTTTAAATTTTTCTTACAAACTTTTTGTTTTTTACTTTTTATTTTGAAATCATTATATATTCCTAGGAAGTTCAAAAATAGTACAGAGAGGTCTATGTGCCCTTCACTCAGTTTCAGTGGTAACTTCCTACCCAACTCAGGTATATACTGTCAAAACCAGGAAATTGACAATGGTACAATCCATAGACCTTATTCAGATTTCACCAGTTTTGCGTACACTTTGTGTGTAGATTCATGTAACCACCACTACAATCAAGATATAGAACTGGTTGATTACCACAAAGATCTTCTTCATGCTGTACCTGAACGCCTCCCCTGCCTCATTCTTAACCGCTATACATCAGTTTTTGAAAATACCCAAGAATTTGTTCTATTTAAAGTCTAATGAACATTTATCCAACATTTTGCCAACTAGGCAACCCTATTTACCTTAAGTATTATCTCCTTTTGGTAAATGAGTCACCAATCTGCAATTCCAAATTCTTACAACTACAGTATTTCTCTTTTATCAGACTAAATGCTTCCTGTGCGTGATGCATTGTCCTAGTTACGGGGGAAAGGAGAAATAAAGACAAATAAGGTATAATAGTCCCTGCTGTGAAAGGGGCTTTCAGGCTAAGAATGGAGACAGATGAAAAAAATACAGTGAACAAAGTAACGTGCCAGGGAGAGGAGAGAGAATACCTAGCCCATAGATTTCACGTTGGATCGTTAATATTAAAGCACATACCACTACTTCATCCTTCCCCTCCCGGAGAGTACTCCATAATAAATGTCAAGTGGATTGAAGAGTTATGTGGTTATAAAAAAAGATAATTTGTAAAAACAGTAGAATATAGATGGATAATTAATCTATGGGCAGAGAAGAACTTTCTGAGCATGAAGAAGTAGAAAAAAATCACAAAGGGAAAATTCAGTACGTTTAACTTCCTAATGATTATGGACTTTTATATAACAGAAATCATTTTGCAAACAACAACAAAATATTGCCACAAATAAAAGTTTTACATTTAAAATATAAATTACTCAAATCAGTTAAGAAAAATGCTTAGCATGTTCAACAGAAATGAGCGAAGGACAGGGAAAGACAACTCACAAAAGAAATACAAATGACTTTAAAACATTAAAAAACCAAAAATTGTGCTGCACTAATAATAAAAATGAGAGTATAGATCTTACATATCGTCTCATTAGTATCAGTAATGAATCTGGACATCTATCCAGGACTCAATGATTTGTTTTTTCTTAGTTATGACTCTGAAGCACTACAAAATTCTCGGTTGCCCTCTTTGTTAACAAAAGATTAAATTATATTCCTGTATTTGAGTGTTGTTGATGTTGCCATATCCTAATTCAATGAAAATAATGAAATTTAAAATTGTGTGGTTTATGTATACTGACTTTTGTCAGAATGTCCACCACACTAATAGAGAATGTATCACATGTGGTAGTAATCAGCTAATAAATGAAATCCTCACTTTTTATTTTAAATTTTTATTTAATGAAAGTATCTGGTGTTATACCTGTAAATTTGTAAATATAGATTGTAAAAATGCTATTTAGATTGCTTTTATACCAAAAATTCTGAAGTATTTGCATAAACTAGGCTAGTATGTCCTTTCTATAATTTTCTTTTGTCAAAATCCTTTCCCTGGAATGAGAACATAGACTTAAAAATTTATCAGCTTTTAAATGCGTTACATCTTTACTCAATATTAGAAATGACTTTGCTAATTTTCTTAATGTGCTCTTAGTTCTTTTTTCCTAGAAGAGTGGTAACTAGAATATTGATATTATTGTAAATTAACTGTCTTCTCCATCACTTGCATGTTGTCGAGAAAAAATAAATCCCTACTAATTATTCTTTAGCTACTTGGGCTTTTCAACCAGAAGCAAAGTAACATTTAGGAAGATTAATTCTGTAAATGTTAACAGTTCGTGCATAGTAACATGCCTAGCCATATTAGCAAGGAGACAGTTGAAGTTGTCATTATGATGTGTCTTAAATGCCCTTAAAATATCCTGTTGGAGCTCTTTACTTTTATATCTTACATTAATACTGTAAATTTATGTTGTATAGTATAAAGACTTCAATGTCAGATGTTATTTCTCTTTAGATGTTTATTTGAAAAATTTTTTTTCTTCAGCATTTGTATAGTCATGGTTTTAAAAATCAACCCTTGAAAAAGCCATCCTTAGTATTATTTTCTTCATTTTCAGACAAGGGGGGCTGCTTTTTTCATTATTGCTGTGATCTGCCTGTTGCTTTTCGACAATGATGATCTCATGGCTAAAATGGCTGAACACCGTATCCTTTTGCAATAGATCGGAGTTATTTAGTCTTGCAGAAAAACAGAAGACTGGCAGAATAGGAAAAGAAGGGGCGACCTAATTAAACTGATCAATCATGAATGAAACTTTCAGATGAATGTAGGTATTCTAAATCAGTATTCAAATAATGAATAAATTCTGAATTAAATATTTTATAGCACTTCAGTATCTTCTACAGCACCTGAAATATTCAGAAATTTAGCAACAATGAAAGAATATTTTAGAATGTCCTGGTGCTAAAAAAAAAAACAGATGATTTGCCACTCAACAAAATCAATCTATTTACTCGCTCGTAATTTAACAATTTAAATGCTCAATTTAGAAGGCAGTGGCAAATATTAAATATAAACTTCTTTGAGATTAAATGAAAAACCTCTGGCATTTTTTTGCCTGTAAGAAAAAGTTCAGATTCCTTAACCTGAGATTCACTCTCTTGCTTTTAAATTATTATTTCCACCTCAGCCCCCACTCTTCTGTATACACCCAACTTTCCAGTCAAATATATCTACTCCTTTCCTCTACAGACATGCGGTGTTCTTTCCTATCCATACACCTTTGCCCACTCCATTTAGCAGAACTAAGAACACCAGTTTCGATTCTTCTGATTACTGATACTCACTGCCTTAAAAACTATTACTTAACTAATAATAATTTACTTTGTTGCAATGAAAGAGAGTGGCATGACTTTGCAAAACTCCAGGTTGCTTGTGATACAACTATTCCCCACCCCACCCTCTTTGCTTGCTGCTTGCTTTGCTGAGGCTTATGGAATCAGCGACTTGGAAACAGATTTAGGACTAATTTTACATGTCATTCTAAAAGGGCATTGGATAGAGTGGCCCAAGAACACCCCTTGCTCTTGTCCCTTTGTGTTACTTACAGTATGTACGCAGATGTCTTTTGGAGGTTAAGTACTGAAATTTAACAACTGTGTCTTAAGCACTATTGTCATTGTTTTGAGACAACAAAAGGAATACAAGCCATTCCACTTTATGAATCATGTCCCAGAATTAAATTTTAAATTATTTGGTTTTTAAGGGAAACATATTGTTGGAGGGTAGTCAGGTTTGGGGCTCCCAGACTAGTCTATAATCAACCCAAAGTAATGTAGCTAAAATTTCAGGAGGACTTCAGGATTCAAAGAGTTAATGTTTGGAATTTTTTCCCTTACTCTGAGTCCCTTAGCTGAAGGACATCATGACAGCGCCCTAACTCACATGCTTTACACAGCCATTGCCTTCTTAGGTGTGGCCGATCACAAGGTATGTTCTTGTCTTTGTTCCTAACATGATCAAGAGATTCTGAAAAGTTACAGCAACTATAACTTTAAAAGTGCATTTAAAATAAGTTATCAGTAATTCACAATACTGTTTGCCGTTTAATTAGTTGAGTAATTTGGGATGTGGAAAAACATGCTAGTTCCATTTCTTCAAATGTGTATTTGAGGATTCAGTATTAGACTGTATGTTTCTAATGAGACTTATCTGATTTTACTCATAGGGTGGAGTATTGTTGCTAGTACTGGCTTTGTGTTGTAAAGTTGGTTTTCATACAGCTTCCAGAAAACTCGCTGTAGATGTTGGTGGAGCCAAACGTCTTCATGCTTTATCCCATGTTGTTTCTGTACTTCTCTTATGCCCATGGGTCATTGTTCTTTCTGTGACAACTGAGGTAAGAACAGAAATTTATTGGTAATAAGTGAAATGAATTGCTATTACTTATAAATTATAGTTTAGTACATTGTATTTCATTTCAATTTGAGGTTGCAAGTGGGTTAAATTATCGTTGCTTTTTCTTTGTAGTTTTTGAAAAATTTTTGGAGTTAATTTTATTGTTTATAGAGAATAAAAATCAAATACTATTACATTTATATATCCCTCTCATTCCTGTGGCCCAAAGGAATCAAAGAAACAATTTAATACCTACCATGTGTTAGGCACAATGATTGTGACTCACCTAGTATTTATAAAATTATTAAATGATAATGCTTTTGTTTTTTAATACTTTGGGGAATACTGGGAAAATGTACCAATATCTTATAGCTCTTATATTTTGGCATTTTACAAATCATATTGAATCATGAGAATATTTGTTTATACATAAAGGAATTAACTAAAATATAAGATGTGAACTTTATACATGTATAGTATTGACAGTTTTTCTTTTTTTAATTTCTAGAGTAAAGTTGAGTCTTGGTTTTCTCTCATTATGCCTTTCACAACGGTTATCTTTTTTGTCATGATCCTGGATTTCTATGTCGATTCCATTTGTTCAATCAAAATGGAAGTTTCCAAATGTGCCCGCTATGGATCTTTTCCCATTTTTATTAGTGCTCTACTTTTTGGAAATTTTTGGACGCATCCAATAACAGACCAGCTTCGGGCTATGAATAAAGCAACACATCAGGAGAGCACTGAACACGTCTTGTCTGGAGGAGTGGTAGTGAGCGCTATATTCTTCATTTTGTGTGAGCATTTTTCCCCTTAGCAAATTTCTTCCTATAGATTCTGATGTTCCAATCATTTACTTAATTTGGGGATTTGTTCAATGCTTGCCTTTAGTGCTGATGGATACTGTGCTGGTTTTTGGTAGCTTAAACTTTTAAAACTTCTGTAATATTCTTTTTTTTTTTCCCCTCTCGTAGCTGCCAACATCTTATCATCTCCTTCTAAGAGAGGACAGAAAGGTACCCTAATTGGATATTCTCCTGAAGGAACACCTCTTTATAATTTTATGGGTGATGCTTTTCAGCATAGCTCCCAATCGATCCCCAGGTTTATTAAGGAATCACTGAAACAAATTCTTGAGGAGAATGACTCTAGGCAGATCTTTTACTTCTTATGCTTGAATCTGGTAAGATTTTTAAGTATTAATGACATATCTTAAAAGCTTAATCTTTAAATTTTGACAGTTCTGGTATAATTTTAGAAATTCCCAAATTTCTGGGAATTAGAGATGAGCTAAAAATTACATTTTCTCTAAGTAGTAGAAAGATTACAGGATCATATTCAGATTAAGCAAACAATTTTTGAGGCATTTCAGAAAGATTGGTATAGTGTGCTATTTCTTTTTTTTTTTTTTTTTTTAAAGATTTTATTTATTTT